ATATATATATATAATAATTTGTATATTTGCTTTTGTACCTAAAATAACATTTTCAAATTTAGTGATATTATTTCTATAGTTTAATTTTGTTAATTTTTTTTTTTTAGAGATATCTGATAAGAAAAGTTTTAGAATTGTGAGGAGAGAAATAACAAAGAGACAGAAACATAGAAAAGACAAAAGAGAAAACTTAAAAAAATCCATTTTATATGGTTCGCTTTATAAAGTAATGCGTGGATCGAATAATGATTGTCTAAAAATAATTTCATGATCTTCCCCTCGAAAATTTCGACAGATGATTTAAAGTTGTTCACTCACAAAAAAATGTGTAAGATTGTTTAAAGATTTGTTATTACGATTGATAATACATTCTGAGCAGGCAAGATTATTTCTCCGATGTGTCATATTCTCACCGAGTGAGAAAAATAGATTTTCATTACGTTGCTATGACAGTGCGTTTGATTCGCGCGAAATCATTTATTAATTATTATCGTATACGTATGTACATATACATATATTCGGAATGAATTTAATCGAGTGCCAGGAAAGGCTGACAATTTCCAGGCGGCGTTCTCAGAATCTCTAATACTCTCGGGAATGATTGATCATTACATGAAAGAAAGAGTGTCAACAGCATTTTTCACGCGACCGAAAGCCGTTGTCTTTCTCATCATAAATTGAAGGTTATTATTATTATTAATGTTAATAAGAAGATAGATTTCATCTGTGCGTTTCTCTCGCTGGCATTCCTCGTGTCAGAAACGTCTGCGTGCCAATCGTTGTAACATTACTAATTTACGACAGGCTTGACCGAATGGTGAAAAAAATTCGCGAGAATGAATCGCGCAATGAAACGTGTCAGGTCCGAATTCGAAGAAGTACTTCGAGGAAGGTTTCATTATAAATTGTGTGAAGTAGACGCTAAGACACTTGAAGAAATTTTGCTGCGATCGCAGCCATTTTACCGTGGAAATGTATTTACGCCGAAAATGTATTTAGGCTAATTATTGCTGCCGATAAATTTTCTCCTAAAAGTGACAGTGGTATTAATAAACGATATTAATACCACTAAATTATAGAGATCCTAGAAATTTAGAATATGCCTTAACAAACTTGTGCCTCTTTGTGTCTGAGGGCTTCGAAATGAGCGTTAATGGGCAAACGAACGAATGGGATACGATCTCGATTTGAGCAATTCTGAAAAAACAAATCTCGATCTTCTGGATTTTTTTTTTTGTTTCCAGGTACCAGTACGGATCTGGTCTCGCAGTTGCTGGGTATGTTTGACGAGCTGGCACGTCGCGGCGATGGCTACGAAGGTGATCGCATGGTCTTGTCGTCCTCTTGCGGCATACCCGCAGCCCTGCAGAAGCGTCTGAGCATGGTACCGGTCGCACGTCGGGGTTCCCGGGTGCTTGGTGCTCAGTTTTGTACCAACGGCGACTTGGCCGAGTCCGTCCAGTGCCTGGAGTTGAAGAGTAAGAAGCAGGAAGGCGAATACGACGGGGGGGTTACGACCGAGAACGACACCGACCACGGTACCATGACGGTCATCCCGGTGGTCGCTTTAACGGGGGACGAGCATAACGACGGGGAAACCGTCGTTGAGAAGCCAACATACGAAAGGCGGGAGACCAACGGTCTGAGTACTCCACTTAGGTACAACAGACGTCGCAGGAACGGCGGTAGACCGCTCTCCGGAAGTTCCATCGCGTCCAGCACGTCTTCCAGTAGCTGCAGCAATCAGGGTAATACCTGCCCCGCCAATCCCTACCTGGCATCCGTCGAGTCCCTCGCCGACACCTGTACCAGCTCTCAGGGTTCCGCGGACAGCGGAGTCGTGACGATTTCGGAGGCTAGCTGTCGGATTCTTAACGACGACAACGGACAACGCCGGAGGGACAGCGCCGAGGAGGAGGATCCCTTGTGCCATAGGCAGCGCTATTGCGATCCGCAGCGCAATCCCGTGGAGAGGGTGCTTCTCGAGATCGTGGACACGGAGGCGATATACGTCGAGCATCTGCGCCAGGTTATTCAGGGATACCTCATCTTCTGGAGGGACGATCCACCGTCGTTCGCGCGTCAGTTGCAGCTCGGTGATCTGTTTAGCAATATCGAGGATATCTTCGAGTTTAATAGGGAATTTTTGTGGGAGATAAAGAAATGCGGCTTGAATCCCGTTCACGTTGCGAACACGTTCATCAAGCATAACTCGGGATTCAAGGTTTATACCGAGTACTGTACCAATTATCCAAAGACAGTCTCGGTACTGACAGACTTAATGGGCCAGGAGGAGACCGCGTCCGCTTTTCGCGAACGGCAAGCAGCTCTGGGACACGCGCTGCCCCTCGGATCCTTCCTTCTAAAGCCCGTCCAAAGGATCCTGAAATATCACCTGCTTCTACAGAATTTGTCGAAGGAGTATGGCGCCGATTGTGATTCGAGAGAGAATGAGGCTGAAGGTAGGAGTGCCATCGAGGCTGCACTTGTCGCGATGACCGGCATTGCAAAGCACATTAACGCCATGAAGAAGCGACACGAGCACGCTGTACGCGTTCAAGAAATTCAATCGCTTCTATACGGTTGGTCGGGACCAGATCTAACTACGAGCGGCGAATTGATCGCGGAAGGTCGATTCAGGATGCGCGGGGCCAAGGCCCCGAGGCATGCCTTTCTATTCGATCGAATGCTTCTTTTGACGAAGAAGAAAGAGGATGGCCTTCTCGTCTACAAAACTCATATTATGGTACGATATTTCTGTCGTAATCTTTTACCTCTTCTTTTAATAGTTTTTAAGATTTACTTTTACACACACAGAGCACGCACGTACGCGCGCACACGCTGTTCGTTTGATTTTTAGTATAGATATGGATATTTATAAATTTTTTGAAAGCCACTTTGATATTCCAAATTTTTTTTTCACATATTTATTATTTATCAGTTTTTTAGAAAATAAATGCAAATATAAATATAAGCATTTTTTTTTCTCGTGCTTCTAGTGTTCAAATCTAATGCTAATCGAAAGTATCCCCGGGGAACCACTTAGCTTTCACGTGATACCCTTTAATAATCCTCGGTTGCAGTACACATTTCAAGTAAGTGTTGAAATAAATTGAAATATTCTATAGATTGGAAAGTAGAACTTAAATGTAAACGCGCGGGAAGAATGTTTACATTTAATAATCATTTATCTATCTTTCAGGCACGCAATCTAGAACAGAAAAGGGAATGGACTTTGCAGATAAAGAACGTGATATTAGAAAATTTTGACGCAGTTATACCATCGCATGCGAGACAATTAGTGTTACAATTGGGTCAGACGCAACAGGAAGGTACGAGTAACAATTTAACATTTCGAAATTTGTTTTTAATCATTACGTCAAATCGACATTGAAGATGTTGATATAATATATATATAAAACTTCAAGCAGATGACGCGTTGGCGGATAAAGGATCCGCGAAGAAACATTCTGCCCCTCCGGAGTACCTGGAGAAACGCAAGCAAGAGAAAGAGAGACGTAAATCTGAAACTAATTTGAGGCAAAAGCTTAAAAAAAGCGCTAAGAAATTCGATACTACGATGGAGGTGAGGTTTAGAAAAAAATTTATCTTTTTCTTCATTGTTATTTGGTTTTCTCTTCTTATACAAGATGAACTTTTACGAATTTTCTTTTCATTATTTCTTTTATATTAGGGTTCACCCGCGTCATCACGTAGAAATGACAATGAAGACATCGTCAACGATTCGAGGGAGATGACTCTTAACAGATCTTCGGATATACGCTCTTCGAAAGTTAAGGTAAGTATGTATATTCTTCTTCTAATTATCATACTTCTAAGATAACACACATACATTCTAAGAAATTATTCCACAAATTATTTCTATCTAATTTAGATTATTAATCTTGTCTCTTCCGAATTATATATTTTATTATTTTTTGACATACATATACATACATACATACACATATACATTTATAAATGAAATTTTCTTTTAATTATTATTTTATGGTTGTAGTTTTTACTATACTTTTATCTCATTTTATCTTCTATGATTTTTTTCTAAACAAGTTACTATATAAATAAATGCAAAAATGCATTACAAAATTACAAAATTCTTATTATTTGGCAATTACAATTAATACAGAAATTACTGATGTTGTTAAATTTATTTTTAAAAAATTCGAAAACTTTGGTAAATGTAACAAACTGACATGTGGGAAGCAACGAGATATACAAATGTCTGTTAAAATCTGTATTTAGGATCGCTTCAGCGGTTGGAGACGAAAGTCCGAGCCCGGTTTCCAATCATACGTGTGCCTCAATCACTCAGACGAGGAGCAGAAGGAAGATATCGCCGGCGATGCTCAATCTACTACAATCGAGACCGAAGAAGCAGCCGAGATTCATACCGAGGAGAAGAATCAGACGGCAATATTAAATTCCTCGCCAATGGCCGAAGCCAAAGATATTAGTAACGAACAAAACACTAATTCGGCGCAAACGGTGGAAGAGATTGTCGGTCATATTCTTATGGAGAATCAAGAGTTTCAAAAGTTGCTGGAAAAACAGCGGATCAGCAGCACTATTAATGTGCGACAGCAACGCTTCAACAAGCGTATCTCGGCGGATACGTCGGACGAAAGCGACTCGGAGAACGCTAATTACATCACCAGCTCGAACTGTCTTAATAATAACAATAATAATAATAGATCGGGCCGTACTCGGGCGACGCATCGGGAGCAGCGATTAATTAGAACAAACAATGCGTGGAATATATTGTCCTCGGCTCCAGCGCGGGAAAACCAACAGCCGCTGCAACTCTTCTACGACAACTTAAAGACCACTCAGAAGGAAACGATCATGCATAACGATAAGTTGAACCACGCGCAGGAGAAGCGGGCGCTCTTTGACGCGTTCAAACGACAAAGCGTCATTACCGAAAGTAAAGTTATCAAGACGGCGCTGCGTATCCGTGAGAATCCTACGTCGCTGGGCAACGAAGAGATCGTCGTACCGTCTCCGACAACGTGCGTGTCGAATCATCGGACAATAGAACGAAAAGAGATCAATTCCATCGTTGATTCATCAACGGCGGAACGAATCGGAAACGATAGAACGATGGAACGACATGACGACGAGAAAAGCGATGCGACAGATGCCGAGTCCAAGGACTTCGGCAACTATGACAATCTGCAGCACGTTTGGGAAGGTCTGCAGACGGGCAGCGTTGACGGCAACGACAGTCCGACTCGACCCGCCGTTTGGCTCACCAAACTGTGTGAAGGTTTGCCGACTTCTCCACTTAAATGTGGCTCGCTACCGCGTAGCTTCCAAATAAGTCCAAATTCTCAAGCGACGAGTGTGACGAAGTCGCGCTTCCTGCAGCGAGATGGTAAACCGATGAGCGAACGGCCGTTCACAATTGCTTCTGACAAGCCGGCGGAAATCAATCTAGAAGACATGGAGAGATACGTGTCTACATGTCAGCCGGAAGGCAGAATCGCCAAATTCCCCATGCCCGTTACCTCGACGAGCTCGTCAACCTTCTTCTGCTCGCTAGAAGATACGCGATTGACCGATGACGCTTATTCTGACATACGAATGTCGACCACCGATAGTGCAAACATTCATCCGGATCACAAAATCTATCGGGCGAAAGGTAACGGTAGCAGCAACGGCAGTACAATTTTCCGGACTGTCTTCAAAGCGGGCAGTCGTTTGCAGGGTCGTTTAAGAAATACTATGAGTACAGAAACGCTTGAATGTAGCGACGAAGTCGAGCGGACGCGCTATTTCCGCTCGTTGAGCGGAGGCAAATATCCGAAGAGGCGAACCAAGCAGTTAAAGCAACATGCGAGGGAGCCATCTTCGGACGTAGAAGAAATAATTAGTTGCCCGAATGATCAGCGAGTTCCCCCCCAGCTCTACTACAAACAGGGCAGTTCAAGTCTGGGTGCCAGAATCGCCCAGTCTGATTACGCCGATCCGACGATCCTTTTCGCCGAGAATAAACGCGCTCAGTCCTCCTCCGTCGGCGTTAATCACTCCAAGAAGATTACCGAATCGGAGAGGAGAGATGATCACATGGAAGAGGAAATAAACGATAGCAAGGATGCGGAGCGTCACGAAAGCGAGACGGATAGTTTCTATGAGAGGAGTTTCGAGACCATTGAGAATTACGCGGATGGTGACGTGGATGAGGCGTTCCGGGACAGTGCAATATTCAGCGACGTCGACGAAGTATTTGTGATGCGGCAACCAATAGTGACGACGGCAACGACGGCGGTAATAACGACGACGACGACGACGACGATGACGACGACGACGACGACGACGTCGACGACGACGAGGATGACAACAGCAACATCGATGACAATAACGAAAGCGAAAATCGCGCCGCCGGTACCCGCCAAGAAAAAGCAACTGATATTAGCGAGATGTAAGCCGAGCGTAGCGCAGAAGCCGGATTATTTGAAATTGAAATCGCTGTTGGCGAGAAATCATGCCGCCGGCGATTCGGAAGCCAGGATTACCGCAAGATTGGTGAACGTTCCTCATCAGCTGGCTTCACCGAATGGTTATAATCGGAATATCGAGGACAGAGATGATATCTCCGTGGGTCAGAGTCAAACTGGTTGGGTGCGGAAAGTAGTAGGTCAATTGCAAGGTCATGTCGAAACGTGATCCATACTAGACTCGCCTACGGGTGGACCGCTCACGAAAGTCAAGAAAAATTTCGAGTCAACGTAAATAATATGAATAGAAGTGAGGCGAGTAATCTTGTCAAAAGAAAAATGAAATGTGTTTTAGATAAATGTGTTTTGATTACTAATTTTATAAAAAAAAAAATGATGAATCTGGCTTCTATTCTTACATATATTGCTAAGAAATTTTACAACAATTAAAGATAAAAACACAATTTGATAAAGAATGAATAATTATGAATGCAATTTTAAAAAAAAAATATTTTCATTGTAATTTTAACATTTGGATATCTTTTGCATTGATGATAAAATCGTTTGTTTCACTTTTCCGTATAATCATTGTGCCGTGAGGTTGAGGAACTAATTGGAGTTCTATTTTTAACTTTTTTTCACATGTGCCTGAAGAACGATATCGATATAACGTGATACCATTACTTATAAATTCATATTTTAATTCATGATTGATATTTGCGCAAGTAAAGACGGCGCATTCACGTTCGTGTTATAGCAACGTAAAAAATTAATATTCATCTATAGACTGTTGTATGTTAAGTATTGTTTGATATTATCTATGTTATATAGAGAAAGAATGCATACAGAGAAAGAACGATTTTTAATTAAACGAAACATTTAAACCATATATAGTTGTATTTAATTCGAAAAGTCCTCGATTCAACTATAGAGAGGGAACTTGAAAATGCAAGTTCGAAAAATATTGTCTTTGAGCAATAATTTCTATTATTATTGTTTTTAAATATAACCCCGATATTAATCATTAATCACAAATTTAGCTACAATAGAAGAGAATATATTTATAATAAGTGTTATTGAAGCTTGTACATATATACATAATGTTGTGATATAAGAATTTATATACATATAAAAGTTTGCTGTCCACCTCTGAATTTTTCATTCGTCTCGAGTAAAGTCGCTACAATCAAGATATAATTTTCAGGTAAGTATTTATATAAAATTATAATAAGTCGATCGTAAAATTATAAAATTGCATTTATTATATGTCGATAAGACAATAGGGAAAAACAAGACAATACAATGCCAAGTATCTCGGACTGAAGACAGAGTATCATGGGTACCATGAGAGTATCATGGAAGTAGAACGAGTTATGGTAAATAGAAAAGTCCATTTTGCAATTAAAGAGTTATTAATTTATAAAAATCTACAAATCTACAAACGAGTGAGTTTTCGTACAAAAGGACAACTCACTCACTATTGTGCTCTCGGTTAATCGCGCGATAATGCAAACGTTGCAGGCACGCACTATGAGCAAATAAGTTTACATCATTTCTAGATCACATCCAAATATTTTATCACGCAAACGAAAACGTGTGTGATGCTGTGGGTTGTCTCTTCGCGCGAATGCTCGTTCGCCGATTTGTACAAATTAATAATTTTTTAATTATTGGGGAAAGCGTAAAATGGTACAGGACCTTTTCATTTGATATGACCTACTTATTCGTGAGGGATGATACGATTACTATTGGACATCCTGTATTTTTCCTTGTTAGATTTTATTACGAGATAGTCTATTTACAAAAGTTCGGTTACTTATTGTTTTTATAGGTTTTTATAAGTAAATTAATACAATTAAAGATTATATTATATTGTATTTTGTGTGTGTGTGTGTGTGTGTGTGTGTGTGTGTGTGTGTGTGTGTGTGTGTGTGTGTGTGTGTGTGTGTGTTAT